ACCGTGGGCGCTTTTGATCGGAAAGATTAGGACATCCCGCGCTATCAGACGCCCCGAGCTTCCCGGCAATAGCTAGGGAAGTAGTTAGACCATGAGCTGAGCTCAAGCAGTGGCCCTGAGCTCTTGCGGTGACAGACACAGAGCTCCGGGGAGCGTTAAGGGTTAGCCCATACGTCGCAGGGCGGCAATCCGAAGAAAGTCGACAGCGTCCCTTGGGTTTGGAAAACTCAAATCGGAGATGTCGCTCCACACACACGTCCACTTCCTTGTGGCTCAACTGTAGGTTTTATAGTGAGGAAAGTTTTCGGTGCCGTTGCACCCATCGCTCAAAGAGCACTTCGTCATCTGTAGTGCTTTCGCCAGGGACAAGCACTACAAGTATTGTCCGAATTGCGGGTACACGAGAGCCACCTCGTTGAGCACGTAGCCGAGTGCGATAAAAGTACAACGGAATTTCTTGTGGGACCAGGAAATGATCTAGAAGAGCTATCCGTTCGGCAAGTTTATTTTCGTTCTAGCTGGAGGCCCGATGATGTGGAAGCATAACGATCGAGTTACCATGTCCTTCGCTTCCACAGCAGGATCCGCTGGGTGGAAGCCATATTCCACACGAGGGTCAATGACCGGCCGTGAATGAACGCGCTTCAGAGCCGCCTAATGGGCAGCTTCAAGCTGCCGCGTCTGAGCCTCGTCGAGGTCATTGGTGATTGCACCACGATCCTCGGTTGATGAGAAGTCAGGGAACAACGGACATGGGATCCGCAAGGCACAAGCGAGGCTCGTATCACACCGCTGGCGCAGCTCGCATTCCTCGTCATCCCATACGGGAAAAATAGTGTCAGACTCGTAGTTGACCACCTTCACATCCTCAACGAGATCACTCGTCACTGATAGCGTGCGCAAAGTTCGACGCTTGCGCTCATCGAGCCTAGGATATACCCCCCCCGGTGCCGCGGACGCATTGTCCGACATCGCACCGCGTGCGGGAGACATAGTTAGGCTCTGCCCGTGTTCGCTGTCGGACCCATCGAGACTTGGTGACTTCCGTGTCGTTGACCCAGCGCTCATTGAGCAAGGAAGTCATTTTATATCAACGAGTTCAGTTGCAGTGTCTAGCGGACACGCGAGCCTCGTTGAGGGAATAATCGATTGGAGCTGTAAATGTTCTCAATCTAAATTAAGGAGGGTGTAACGGGGTTACACGTACTCTGGTAACATGGGTGTGTGTCACACGAGATGCGCATGGTGTATCTGCACCCAAACACCTATACGGTATGCCAGTAGTTATTCATGTATTTAGATTTTACTGTATATATTTAGTTAAATCTATACATTTAAGATAAGGAGGTTTAGCCGCAGATAAAAATAAATAAAAATAAGTTTTGAATTTAAACCGCAGAGTCCATTAGCCTTAGTTAAGGTACTAACTACTCTTGGGGGTAGTAAATTGCGATCGCCACACTCGTATTGATTGTTGTAAGAAACGAAATGGCAGTGACCTAAATTACGCTTCCTCAAGCGCAAAGATACGGCAGCCCCGCTGTACACCTTGCAGAACAATCGCTATCAATTTCTGGCGGCCCTGTGTTTTGGAGAAGCTTCCGCAATTTCGTGCTCGTGCCAAATGCGCGTCATTTCTTCTGAAAAGGTATTTTTGTGACTTGCTTATGTTTCACAAGGAGTAAGGACGAGGACATCCAGCTTTAATGACTTCATGGTTCGTAGCGTTCCAGCCACACCATGCTTAAAATAAAATAGTATTCTTAATTGAGATACAGGACTAGACAATGTTTCACACTGTCAAACTCCTCAAGCTTTACTTAAAAATTGGACATAACCTTCGGCATTTACACCAGCGCTCCGGTTGAACAAAATAGTTTAATCGCACCCGACACACCTGGGTTTGGCGGTGCAAACACTCGCAAGAGTTGTCGCTCCAAACCCACCCCGTTTTGGATCTCTCTTGTAATGACAAATTGTAGATAGGTTGAAAGTCTCGCGCGCAACCTCCTAGCTTGAAGATTGCACGCTTGACACACTGTTCTTTCGATAATATCAAAGCCAAATCCATGCCCATCTCGACTTCCCACATGTATAATTTTCTCCGTCCCGACCCATACATGTATGAAAGTTAAATATTAGCGGCCTCACCTCTGTGCCACCTGCTTCTCTACAGACATTAGGTTGGGCGCTTCTAGACATGCTCACCAGCAAATTCCAAAAGCTCGTAAGTGCCTTTGGGCGAGCATTAATTGCTTTGGACCATAGGCCGCCAGTTCCAAATTCCATCTGAGTCCTAGAAAGACCAAAGTTCTCAATTTGGGCTGCCTGTTCCTAGACATGTATTCGACAGAGGATATTATCCTTCTACGAGTCTGCTGTGGGATCGTCTACTAGCGCTATCGAGTGGAACGGCGTTGCCGTGCACTGTGCACAGAGGAAAGTTTGACAATCCCAGTTCATTTATATAGAAATACAAAGGCTGGGTTCGTGGGCTCCAACCATGAGCGAAACCTACAGCATCTAGAGTAATCAACGCTATCAGTTTGCTCTGCTATTTTTAGAGTATATATATTTATGATTGATTCTGTTTGTATACATTTTAATATTCATTGAGCGATTTGGTTAAGTGGACTCCTGGTGCAAGCATGTTCTGAAAAGGCTGCATGACAAACGCAACGGATGGCGTTAAACTCAAAGCTCGGTAGATGCTGGATGTGTGATCATTTTTGCGCAATTGCTTAAAAGACCGAAAAGTGTGGGTTTCAGTACAAATATTGTGTACTTAAATTTTGTACATTTGAATTAGAGACAATACGGTACAATTGAACGAGACTCACATTCACTTGGTGTAACCGATGTCTTCGATCAGCCTCTACTCTGCATGGGCGTCAAAACGACAAGTATTGCTGCGACACCCCACCGCAAAAGTAAGAGCAATGGTCAGCCCCTTGCCAGCTGATCGTGGCTCAGAGGGTTCATGTCAACCATCTGCAAGTGCAATAATCAACTGGAGGGTTGGCAAAATCATCACGTTGTAATTACGATCTCAAACTATCTGAAGTTGCTTTATGCATGCGGGACTTTTGCTCATACAGAGATCAAAAGGATGACCAGAAAGTTTCTTCACCAGCGCTTTCTATCCCCATTAGCGATCACTCTATAGTAGTGCCATATGGGGCTAAAAAACTAGCGGTTACGGGATCGTATACGAAAACCGTATCTTTAACAGCTGACGTTCTTAGAGAGTACCGAGGATAGGCGAACTTGATTGGCGCAGAAAGTGAAACAGACCGCCTTATCGTCCGTCTCGGTTCTGTAAAGGAAGCTTTAAATTGGCAGGTGTCCGTCAAGAGCATCAACCCATACTTGATTTGCGGAGTACAAATTCGACGTGGACGTCGAGGTGAAACTCATCAACTTCAGTTCTTGCCGCTATATCTCCGCATTTTTCGAAATGAGAGCTGTAACAACTGCCGATCAAGGTCATACTCACCACAAGGGTGATACCTACTTACAAGTGGAAAGCGTGCGAAGACGGGTGGCTCCGCCTCTTGCCCAAGGAAAAAATTGTCGAGAGTGCGCTAGGTCGTAAGCATCATCGACGTCAGGGCAATCTTGTCAAAGCGAGATCTTGAAACATTCTTTCTACTTCACCAGACACTAATATATCCATGATGTACCCGCCATTCGACCAATCGCTCCACTTTAAAGTGGGCCACACTTTGCTCGACAAGTAGCACTAGCAGAGATTGGCCATCCAGTTGCTCACTCTCGTTTGTGCTCTCGATGTGGCGGCATATCGACTTTTTTCGTCAGGAGCGGCGTGCGTCTCTAGCTGACATAAGTCAGATCTCGAACTCACTTTCTGACCTTCACCATCGCGCTGCGTGGGTTATGGTATTCCTGTAATTCAAAATTGCTCTATAACAAAAGATTACCCAGCTACAGTGAGAGCATAAACGGTGCATACTACGACAAGGCTCTCCAAATCTGACTGCCTCATAAGAGCTGGATCGTAGAATTGATTCAGCAAGCACATCGAACACTGGATATAATTGTATACTTGATGGTATATTTGGAGAATAACGCAATCCTTCTATCGTCACTATCGTAAGCGGTGTGGTGTAGCGCGATCGCAACTTCGACACACTTATCTATTCTGACGTCAAATTGTCATAACACATGTACTCAATCACTGCTTGCAAGTACGGGTGTGGTTGACCACATCCGATCCCGTCTCTCAACACGACTATGGACGAATATAACGGGAGATTAGGTCTACGCTTGAAGATAATGTGGCTTTGATAGCTGCGAGAAAGGCACTGGCAAATTTTGAACGACCTTAATCGTTGCACGATCTTTCCGCAAGCCCTACTACATCATGAAGGAGCTCAGAGAGAGAATTTTGTCTAGGATATACACTAATGCACTGCTTACAAGAGTTTTATGTGGTTCCCTGTCTGCCCCGCCGTGCTCTGCAAAAAAGAGAATGAATATATTGTCGAAACAGGCTTGTGAATGGTCACGATGCGGCCTGAATAGCTAGGTCATTTGACTATTGTGCAAAAGCCACTTTGTGGTATAACCCGCCACAACCAGGCATCTTGATCGATGTTTTCCCCGCAATGAGGAACATATTGCTGTCTGTCATGCTCAGCTGATAAGCTTCTTCAACCGGGCCACTATATGTAGAGCGGCAAACGATGCAGTTTAGCACATCATTGTAACATTTGGCTTTTCGGTAGAGTAGCTGATGCATCTAGCATATTATAAGCAAAAACAATGAGTCAGCCATTCTGACCCAAAAGTCGGCGCTGAGTGGGGTAAACGTTTTTTTACCTCGAATTCGTTTTATTTGAAACAAAGAAACATTGCATACCGTCATAAGGCCCCCTTGGTAAGGCCACTACCGTCTGACGGGTTATTTGGACCCGGAATAAGTTTCATGACGCACTTCCTTATCAGGAAATAAGAAGTACGGTTCCTCTACGTCGTTATATGTTTCATCAATGTATAGATGTGATCCATCGAATTCTTCAATTTTATCAGTCTCGCCTCTCGCACTCAGTGCTATCGAGTGCCTTACGAACAGACGCATCCATGATAGATGAAAAAATTTGCTTTCTCTGCGTAACGAAAGGTATCATATCGGTGACCTCACCGTATTGCGATTCTTGCACATTTTTTTGAGAGAGCATTCCTCCATCTCTATTAAAGATTTTGTAGGATGTAGTGAGGCGAGGCTTAGGTCCCTCTTAATTACCCGTGTCACTCTATTTGTTTGTGAAGTATCAAGCTTGCCAATAATCTGGCAAGCTTCACTGCTTTGCAAGATTGGCCTGTCACATGCTAGTGCCGACTGGATTGACTATTTGGTAAGTTTTAAAGCTTACCCTTCTACCGAGACTTAAATTTGTCGTTTAACTTCCCAGGTACAAGGACAGGAGAGCGCGATTTATAATAGCTATTATATCACACCTTTATTTATACGTTCTAACATAACTGCTTATAAGAACTCAGCTTACAGTTGCAGTCAACCATCTCAAGAGAGGTTTGATGACCGTGGAATACCGTCGCTTTTTTCATGTCGAAGAAGAGATACACTTTTAAGACAGCGAAATGTATCCGCAACAGTTTGTTCATTCGGATTTCGCGGCCTTCTGTCAAATTTGCAATCGAACCTTGCTCACAACATTGTTTTTCGTCAAGTCGATTGACTTATACCCCGAACCAAAGCTTGAGCAGCATGTTTCCTGCGCAGTAAGCATTTCTGCTTCCAGCAGAAATGATCTCATCATTTGCTGGGATAGAAGGGCTTAGCACCTGAAGCTCTCGAGTTTCAGTCGATTTATACATTTCAGTTACGCCACGCTTTTCCCAGTATAACAAGATCGAGTATTGTCTATCACTTGACAGCATTTCGAGCTGACAAAGCCCTCGAATTTCCTGGTAGGTATGAAAAGACCCACAACACTCCAAGCAATCTCCTCGTGCCATGACGCACGAATATCTCATCCGTTATATGTTTCACGTACTGACCGGTCCAGGTATAAAGCAAACTGAACGACGCTTCTAAATCTAATGCTTATGCGGATTTGCAGACCCCGGCATTGAAGTTGGGACCAACTGTCTTGACCTGTAAACTCTACCCCTTTTAATACGGGTTTCTTCGTAAAGGCTTAGTCTCGTTAGATATGGCTTCAGCAGTACAATAGAGTCGCGATTTCATGAATAGCTGCCGTATGGTCTACTAAAGCCCAAATTCACCCAGCGAGGTATCCTTCAGGCAGCTCATTATAAGGGCTTGGCCTTTTAGATTTTTTAACCGAAAAAGAAGGTGGCATGCAAAAAGCAGATGTTTTAAACCGCTACAGATGTAAAATTAGCATGTATCGCGGTGCTGTCCAGCTAAGAGATTGTTTTGTTTCATTTGAAATTACCTCAGATCTATCGCTTCTGGCGCACCCGTAAAGCTTGCACACACCCGTGCTCCAACCGACCTTATTAGCACAAAAGCTGTAATCTGCTTTGAGTACAACACCCACGCATATTGAAAGAGGCTGGATGACCTTAAGGTCTCCATTGGATCCACACCCCGTTGGACCCCCTCCAAAATATGGTAACTGTTTCCAGATTTTTTACAGGATCCGCCACCATCGCAACAATTACATTTCTCAGCTCTTACGCATAAATCACAAACTTTCGCAATTGACAAGAAAATCAAATTGATTCAAACCGTCTTATTTGGAAATGTGTATATATCTTCTTTCCCTTTTTATGTCGAAGATAGCTCTTCTACCAAGATACTTCACACATATGCCTATTGCTGCGCGCGGTCTCCAAGTTTGAAAGGCGTAGTGCAATGCGCAGTTGGATTATGATCAACTCGATTTTTTTATTAAGAGCGATTTTATCGTTTTGGGCTCTTAGAGAACTTTATGCTTAATGTCATTGGCCTCACCGGAAGGCCCGTGGTACTCTTATAGACGCATCGGTATGCGCTCAAGAGGTGATTTGCGAGCGTATTCTCGCTGCTGGTGAACGTCTTCTGGTGCGCTATTACCTCCTTACGCCATTGGGGTGTAAATTTTGTTCCCCCTCCAACAATGGACGACACGATCTCGCTAAGCATACTAAGTGGTTTTGTGAAGTAACAATACTGCAGCGGGGCTGCCGAAGCTATTTCGCTTAGAGGAGCTTCGTTAAAGTCACCCACCTTCGTTTTTTACTAGAACCAGTACGAGTGTAGCGGATCACAATTCGCTTACTCCAAGAGAAACCACAACCTCAATCCAAAACATATTAACTCTTTCAATTAATGTATCTCGTATGTCTCAATTTTATCAGCGGCAAAGCCGCCCTAATCTAAATGTATAGGTCTTCCTAATCAAATAGTATAACCCAATCAAAATGCATAACTACTGGCAGTCCAGCCACGTAGTCAAGATATAGCCACATCATTGTGTGATCACACCATCTTGTGTGATCCACCCCTTCATACCAGGGTACGTATAACCCCCGTGAAACTCTCACCTATTAAAATTGCGAACACTCACAATTCACATTTAACTGTCGTCTTGTACGAGGATCGCGTGTCTAAGACAACTCTACATCCCCAGGACCTTCTGCACGCATTCTCTGCTCAATGAATCCTGTGTCTAGGACGCGAAAGACACCCAGTCTTGCTGGCTCTTAGAGCGCTCGCGGGCAGAGCCCGTCTTCGACTCCTTCACGCGGTGAAATATCGGACAGCACGTCCGCGGCTTCAAGGAAAGCGCATCCCGAGCCCTCGGCAGCCGAGCGCCGTACGCTGCACCAGCCACGGGCGACGGATTTCACCGTCGAGGTTTCGGAGGAAGTCGACTATGAGTCGGATACTCCTTTCCCAGGGTGGGAAGAGGAATAGGGAGAGGTGCCCCAGTGGCGCGACGTGAGCCCTGCTCGAACCTTGTTGACACCGTGTCGATTTCCTGAACTCTCAACTTCCGGGGAAAAAGGTATCATTACCAATCGCCTCAAAGAAGCACAGAAGCAGTAGCTGGAGGCTGCCTGCAGGGCGGCTATACGCACGCATCCACAGTCGGTTCTAGACCCACGTAAGGAATCGGCTTCCGCTCGGCGGATCCCGCTACTAAAACGAAGGACGTGATCACTCGATCGTTGGGTATCTACGTGTTTGGGCCTTCGGCTTCTACACAAG